ACACACACACACACCACCACCACCACCACCACCACCACCACCACCACCACCAGCAGCAGCACCACCACCACCACCACCACCAACAACAACAACAACAACAACAGCAACAACAACAAAGCAAAAACAACAGCAACGACAACGACAACAACAACAACAACAACGACAATAACGATAAACAATTTCCAGGCTCCGGACACTTGTGGCACAAGTGCCTGTTACATGACGGAGGCTGAGGAAGCAAGCGTTCGCAACTCGTAGTAGTTAGCAGTTAGCAGTTAGCATACCGCCTGCTTACACAAAGTTCTGAACTTCCCACCCATATCCATCTGTAGAATCTAGTGAATCTAGTGACGGCTCGCGGCTAGCAGCTAGCGGAACACAGCACAGTGAGTCCGAATCCTTAGGACGGTTCATGGTCCCTGCCTCGGCGTTTCGGACGAAGGCCTGCACCCTGCGGGAGTGCTGTGGGAGTAGTAGTTCATGCACTTCTCGAGGCCCCACGGCAGCCTGCTTCTCCAAAATGTCCTCGAGCACATGGGGCACATGCAATCACATGTGCGGGGTATCTAGAATCTAGAGTGTAGAGTCTAGAATCTATAGAGTCTAAAATCTACATACCGCGACACTGTCGTGTCAAGCTTCCTTGGTCAATTTGCACATCGGCATCTAGCATAGCCAGCATCGACTAGACTAGACTTGACTAGTCTGGTCAGACTAGTCTGACTCGTGAAAAATCGACCAGTAGACGTGACTAGACTCGACTCGACTCTTTTGGCGACAAATCAAAGAGTAGTGACTAGTGACTAGTGACTGTCCTGGACCAAAACTCGGAGTGCTCGGGCGTCATCACGGGTGTACATGTCCTTCCGCAAGAACATCAAGTAGATCCTGCAGCAAAGGTGATTGCGCCCTCTCGAGACTCTACACACACTGGACTACTATTACTAGACTCTAGACTGACTTGACTTGACTAGACACTAGACTAGACTGTGACTAGACTCGACTCGACTCGACTCGACTCTGGCTGAGACTGCTAGTTTCGAGCCACTGGCTCGTCATTGACACTGCAGCTGCATACACGGGCTTTTCAATCACTCGCACGACTCACTGATCTTCATGGATTGCGATTTGATCACTGCAGGGGCTCCGTAGTAGCAGCAGGTGGCATCACAGCCCCTTGCAGCTAGCAGCTAGCAGAGCAAATGAGCTGCATTTCATCATGCCGACAGAAAAGGCTCCCGGATCACGGAGTTAGGGTACAGACTTGGGTTCCAGTCCCTCGCCATCGTGTTGCTGCCGCTCATAGGTATTCGCCCATGCCTCGGCACCAGGCTGTTCGTAGAAGTCTTCCCGTGCCTTTTTCCGCTCCCGGTGCGAAAAGCTTCTTGCTTTCATTGCAGTATGCTCCTTGGCGCTAGCAACTGTTTGGCCTCTCTGAAGCCAAGCCAGCAGCAGTCCCACTGGTCGTCCCTGTCCTTCCCGGCTTGGGGCACTTGATGCATAGATTGTGCGCTGCCTTCTGCATGCATCATGGGCAGAGCAATGTGCCCGGATGTATTCTCCAGACATGCTGAAATGAAGCTCACCAAGACCACCAGCCAACACGAACACTTCCTCACGCACTGCTGCAGCTCGCACCATGTGAACGGCCTGTCGGCCAGCCTGAGCATCATCGAGATCTTGTTGCGCGCCTGCGCTGCTACTGTCAGAGCTAGAGCTGCTGGAGCTGCTACTGCTAGAGCTCGAGTCACTACTGTCATCGTTGCTGCTGCCGGAGCTGGTCTGGTCGGCGGCACCCCTGGCTGCGGCTGCCGCAGCACGGCGCTCCAGCTCAAGCTCCTCCATCATGGCTTCCAGGTTTTCTGACTCATCAGATGCGGCGTTGCTTGCTGCAGAGACCTCGCCATCTTCTGGATCGCTGCCCTCGTAGCCCTCATCCTCCGAAACCTCCAAGCTCCCGGCTTCAGAAGCTGAGCCTGTTGAGTCCACCTCCATATCCAGCGGAGCTTCAACTACGTCTGCAGCGTCCATGAGCTCGTGTGCCTCGTCAGCTGCTGCTGCTGCTGCCCTGCCTGGACCTCTGCGTGGAGCACTAGCAGGTCGTCGATGCCGTGGCCCTGTTGGTGCTCGCCGTTTCCTGGCATTATCGCGTTTCCTGTTATTCTCGCAGTCATGCCCACGCCAAACATCCAAGCCTGTGGTTGGCTCGGCAGCATCGGATGCTGCGACAGGCAGCAGCCTGACATAGCCCAACCTCATGCGGCCCATTGCAAGGGCATCCACAGACTGGTCTATCTTGAACAAGTCCATGCGGTACGCCGCCGAAAAATCGATGTCTTGCACAAAAGCTTGCAGCGATGTCAAGAAACAATCCCGGCTGCTTGCTGCATCCGGCCTGAAGCAAGCAGACTTCAGGCAAATGCATGGCGAACCATCTGAGCGAGACTCTCCTTCAGGATCTTCCAGCAAGCGATGCAAGGTCAAGTTCCACGTGGTGTAGTTGACAAAGCCGGGGTGATACCACAGCTGCTGCTGGCCGGCGTCGATGTCTTGCCCGTCAGTGGGTTCCGTCTGCAGACGCAGAACGAGCTTTGCTTCCTCGAGCATGATGCGGCAAACTGACTTCTGCTTCTTCTTTGACCAACACACTTTCTTGAGCTCAGCAATCAACCGCTTGTGAAATCTCAAGGCCAGATGACCCTGGCCTTGTGCGCCACAAACACAGAGACCCAGATTCTTGCAGGGCTTTGCTTTGAAGATTTGTTTCGAGGCCTCTGGCTCAAACCTGTCGAGTCTAGCAGCCACAACAAAATAGACTGCATCGTTATCTTTATACACAGCAAGGAAACCAAACAAACCGTTGCGCATCTCGTGCTATATTTGCCAGTACCAAGAGTCCGTATGGGACCTTGCTCCTTCTCGCGCACGAGCTGTGTCAGTGATTCCAAGGATTCCTGCAACCGCTGTCGAAGTGCCCAGCTTTTGCCATCGCGCCTGGAAGCATTCTCACGGAGCGCCGCCTGCTCGGGGGGGTGGCAACAGGAACACTCTAAGCCCTAAACTAGACTTTCCCAAGCACCAAGCCTCATGAATCATGACACTTGGGTCTGTTCCGTCCAAATCCGCACAGAACAAAACTGAGAAAATCACAAAACTGGGAAAAGAATGCGAAGACACGAGCAGGCAGATGTTGTGGTTTGGGAGCTGACTGCAGCCAGCAGGCAGCAGCTAGCTAGCAGCAGCTAGCAGCGAGTTGCTTAAGAGGTAGCTATGAACCAGTAACTAACTAGCAACTCTTGCAACTAGCTAGTGCAACTAGTAATTAATACCGGCTAGTAACTAGTGACTAGTTAACTAGTAACTAGTAACTAAGTAACTATGTAACTAGTACATAATACTTAAGACTTAAGACTCTGTTACAGCAGCTGCAGCTGCTGCTGGTGCACGGAATCCTAGAACAGAAACCGGCTGCCGAAGAACTGACCTCTAGTAACTAGTAAGACTCTAGTGACTCTAGTATTACAGCATACGTATAAGTTCTGTGGTATTAGGCCCTGAGGCCTGTAAGCCTTACTACGTTTAGGGTTGTCTAAGACCTAAGAGTCTAAGTCTAGGTGAGTTTCAGTCTAAGTCAGTCTAAGTCTAAGTCTAAGTACTGAGTCTAAGTCTTAGGCTAAGTAGGACAGCTATAGGACCATGACTGTGACCAGGACTGACTAGGACTAGGACCAGGACTAGGACTAGTGACTAGTGACTAGTGACTAGTGACTAGTGACTAGTGACTAGTGACTGGTGACTGGTGACTGGTGACTGTGACTAGGACCAGGACTAGTGACTAGGACAGGACCTGGGACCTAGCACGACTCTGACGTGACAAGGCTGAGACTGTGACAAGCGGACTGAAATGAACACTCAACACTCTTTGCACCAGCCTGCGCGAGCTGCACCATGGGCGGAAACCATTCCAACTCAACCATGTCCTCTGCCTGGCTGGTAGCCTGGCCTCGCCAGAAAGTCTCATCGCACCTTGCACCTTCGAAGGGACTCTCCAGAGTGCAGGACGACAGAAATTGCCGCTCGATTGACTGCCAATTCTCCAAGTCCTGAAGCCGCTTGGCACGACGCCTGTGCGAGCTCTTGCGCACAAGCGACACAAGCTTGGACAAGTCTGCCTCAAGATCGTTTCCTGCAAGGACCACCTGGCCCAAGGCACCAGGTGCGTCAGCCGCAATCATGGAGCCCTCTGACGACTCAGTGCCCTGTCCGCCGTGCTGCATGACAGGCGGATTGGTTGCAAAAGCAGGGAAGTTCGCTCTCCACGCGAGGGTCCCACGTTGCCCAAGGTCCTGGTAGTAAGCCTTCTCAGAAGGACTCAAGTTGGCATACTCGTGAGCAGCATCGGACCACACCTGTCGTGTTCCTCGGCAGCCTTTATAGCGCTCGGAAATGAATGCACGGTAAGCTCCACCCCCTCCACGTCTTTTTTTTGGTGACTTGCTTCTTTTTTTGTCAACATGTCTGGCACTCTTCGGATCCTCGCACATGCTTGATGCGGCAGCCTGTGCGGCAGCCACGGTCCTGCACGTCCATTCTGCGGCTAGCTGCCGGAAGTCCGCCACCCACGTGTGAAGCGACTTTTTCAGAGTCAGGCGCCTGACTGCAGCGTGTCTGCTTTCCAGCTGAGCAATGTCTACTTGGCAAAGATCGGCCAACAGATTCAGAGTCGTCCATGCATCCGTGCCCTGCGCGTATGCCCCAACCGCAGCAGGATACCTGCGAAAAAATGCGTCCGCCAATTCATCGTTCATGCAGCCCGGTCCGGAGGTGGCTCCTGCAGTATCACCAGTCAGTATTCGGAAAAGTCTGTACGGGTGTCCGTCATGGGGCACCCGCAACAGCTGATGCACTGCACACCCCAGCCGACTATGCAGCCGAAAGCCAAAAGCTCGATGACACACAGTGTGATCTGCGGAGGCTAGGACGTGCTGTGGTTCGACCAAGTTCTCAAGCAACCGGGTCAGGGCAATCTCAAGGATGGGTGCAACCTCCAGCACTCGGAAACGTCTTGCAAGGCCTGGCGTCGGAGCGGCATTGGCATAGACCCAGGCATAGTCGGTTTCGGAGTTTTGATGGTCGAGGTTTCAATTCGGTTCCAAACACACGGTCCTAACTAACTAACTAAACAACAGACTAACGATTCCGACGGTTATCCTCTTCAACTCGTAGCATGTAACTCCGAAGCAAGTAACTACTATATTAGTAACAACTAGTAAACAGTAACTAGTAACTAGTAACTAGTAACTAGTAACTAGTGTAACTAGTGACTAGTGACTAGTCTAGTTACTAGTTACTAGTTACTAGTTACAAGTTAATTAGTAATTAATATTTAATTAATTAGTTAGTTATTAGTTAGTGACAGTCCGTGTTTGCACGACTTTCGTTCCGTAGCAACACCCGCTAACCCGCTATGTCACAGCACTATATATCAGTAACCTCACTCATTCACTCACTCACTCATTCACTCACTCACTCACTCAGAACTAACTGACTCACTCACAATTCACTAACTAACAGTACTGACTAACCGACCTGTCTAACCGTATAACCAGAACTAAGTAACAAAGCTAACAGCCAACAGTCTAAGTCTAAGCCTCTAAGCCTCTACGCCTGTCAGTAGAATCTGGCCGCCGCTGGCCTTGTGCCATGTTCTGCAGCTGCCGCTGCTCCCAAGCTACCCCGGACATTTCCAGCAAGGGCTGCATGAGTCGTTCGGCCACACTTGTACTCAAACCCAGCAATGCCAGACGTGCCCGTGGACAGGACACTGCCCACGCCCCCGACTTGGTTTTGAACTGCTTGTTCAGCTTCACCCAGTCTGTACCGTCGGTTGCAGCTGGTAGATCCGCTGCGTCTTCGCCCCCCTCTCCAATGTCCTCTGCCTGCAACAAAACATCGCAGCACTCAAGAATGAAAATCAACCAACATCTACGTAGAATCTACGTGAGCACTATTGAAATTGTTGCAAGGGCACTGGCAACGGTGGCCTGGTAGCAGCTGTAACTGTTAGTTAGCAGCTTGTTAGCAGCAGCAGCAGCAGCTAGCAGCTAGCAGCTAGCTGCTGCTAGCTGCTAGCTGCTGCTAGCTGCTAGCTAGCTAGCAGCCAGCTAGCAGGTAGCAGCTGCTAGGACTGCTAGGACTAGTGACTAGGACCTGGCCACTGGCCATTGGTCATGGCACTACACTGCATACTTGAAAATCCCAAAACAACCATGGCCACCAAAGCAACATGTCATTGGACAAAGCACGGTGCAAACACCAACCAACCAAGGCCCGCCTCAGCATCCTCTTCCTCATCGTTCCACTCATGCAGCACCGCGTCTGCCAGCTGCTGCATGAAGGCTTCGTTCCGCATCTGAACAGTGTCCTGAGCAGCAGGAGCTGGTGTTGGTGCCCCAGTGAAAGCCAAAATAACTGACATGCCCAAGTTGTGATGAGCAAAAAGGAGTGCTGCCCAAGACAATGCCTGAAACTGTCGACTCCATCGATTCTTGGCAAACTTCGGGAGCTTGCTTGGCAACAAAGCGAATGTCACGAATTGGTGGAATTTCTGTCTTGTATCAGCCTCATCTTTGCAGCACCCTAGCCCACACCAATGTTGCACTTCCAGCTCCGTCAAACAACCGTTGAGAGTTCGCGACAAAATCATGCGGCGCTTCATGTTCATCAAACGGCTGCTCTGGTCGTCTTCTCCATCTCCATCATGCTGGCCGAGGGGAAGGAAAAGGTCATAGATTGCTTCCCTGTGGGCAACATCTCGTGGGTTACCGTGTTTGATCACAAGACGTTGATCCAACACGGAGGCCAGGATTTGTCTTAATGTATGCAGGGTACCTGCCCCATGCTGTGACATGCATGTGGCCAGCAGGCCACTGATGTCTTTTGAACCAAGATCGAAGGCAGCTTTGTGTGCCTGGTGGCACTTGTGAACATCACACGGAAGTGTCAGCTTCGTATTTCGTTGCGGGGCATCTGGCGACTCTACAACAGGCTGCGGCTCGTCACCCTGTGTTGTGAGTATTGTGTCATGTAACAACGATGTTTCTGCCAGGAAATTGGCTGCATAGCGGTCCACCGTGGCAAGCTGCAGTGACCAGTCGAACTTCTGAGAAAGACGCTGCAAGCATGGCATGTTCTGCGCAAAGAAAATACCGGCTCGCACTTGTTTCAGACAGACCGCAGTTGTGTTCTGTACTATCGACAGTGTGGTGGGAATCATCCCCCGTATCTCAAACACTCGATTCTGCGAGTCAGCCAACAGCATATGAACCGATCCTTCTGCCTGCACAACTTTGCCATGCTGCGAAGAGTCTGCAGCATCACCTCCCTTGCAAATATGCTGATGCAGCCGTGTCAAGGTGGGAGTCTCATCATAGCGAGCTCTGGTGCACAGCAGCAACCCACGCCACTGGCCACTATCAAGCTTCTGCAGCACTGCATCCATCAAGGTGCCCCATAAACATTTTCCGCTTTCCATGATAGCGGCAGCGCCGGCTTGCAGCAGGGTGGTCACCTGGCTTGTCGATATGCTGCAATTCTCCGCCAGCTGTGTCGTGGGAACAACGTGTCGAGCAGGCTGGAACAAGTGTTGTAAAAAACTGTCCGCTCCCACCTGCTCCTCTGCGCTCGTTCGCACAGTCTTTTCCACAGCTGTCTCAGTGGCTGCCGTGGACACCAATGCATGGAACAAAGTGCGCCCCTCAGCCTCTGCAAATTTCTTAAGCAGTTGCCAGCACTGCCCACCAATGCCAGGCAAAACCACAGCCTCAATGGCCGCTTCACACTGCACAGCATTGTAGCCATGGCCCACGGAAGCAACAACTGCTGAGTTCTCGCGGCATTTCTGCTCACGCACTGAGCGAGCATACTCAATCGATCCTGGAACAGGGCTGCTGCTTCGAGCAGGCTCTGGCGGCCTCCGTTGACGGCAAACTGCCCGCAAGACATTGCTGCCGAATGTGCC